TGCATGGTTTGAAACCCAGAATCCGATTTTTGAGCTGACCCCTTGACCTGGTGGTTCACAGCAGCTGACCAACTGCGTGGTTTGAATCCCAGAATCTGTAACTTGAGAAATATGCAAGGCACATGTGCATGCATGCCCAAAATCCCCCTCCCCCAAAAAAAGGGAGATGAAAGAGACTGTGACCATGCACACACGCCCGGTGTGAGTTTTAAGCCACTGGATCTGGGACGCGAACCGCGGTCGACTACGTGGGAGTCCAGCGACATAGCTATTACGCTAACTGCTGGTTCCCGAGACCACAGGCTTTTGAGTTAGATGGATTTTGTATAGAATCCCAATCTCACCCTGTGTATCTACCTGAATGATACTAAATTACCTTTCTTAATCTCAAGCTTTCTCATCTGTAAAATAAGAATAACAACTGTTAACTTCATTTTTGGTTGTTTTGAGAATATTTGATAATTTATTTTAGGTATTCACCAGGTGCAAATATTAACTCTCCAGAAGTATAATTTAAAGAACAAGCATGCTTGTTTTCTTCTGAGTAATTTTAAAGGTACTTTATTTCTGAAATAAAATCACATCTCTCTCTATAAAGAATGCAGTCTGCCTAGCCTGGTGCAGTAGGTAGCAAACTGAACCACAGTGCTGAAGCCACATGATTGACTGTTTTAAAAAAATAATTATAATAATAATAATAATAATGATTGGGAAAAACATAGAAAAGTTATTGAATGATCAAGCGGGGAGATTAATGTCTCTGTATTGACTGACATGCATGGCATTCCCTTTTGAAAAAACAATGTAATACACTGTAAAGTTATATGTAATCCAATGTAATATAAAGAAGATGATGATAATAAAAAATAAAAATAAAAATAAAAAAGACATGTTAATATTTTTAATATTTATTTATTTAATTTAATTTATTCATTCATTTTATTACTTTAATTTGGCCAGAGAGGGACACACACAGAGATAGAGAACGCAAGAAAGCAAGCCACCAGGCCCCGGACTCAAACCATGGTTGGCCATGTGGGAGTGTCTAGTGCCTTAACCACCACACCACCTGCTGGTCCCATATCTCTGAGTCTTAATGACCCTACTTTATAGGTTGGGAAATAATAATCCAGCATTATGCATTTTAGTACTATAGGGAAGAATGTACCTGAAAATACATTGCATTATAAATTCAAACCTCTATCGAATGCTCCAGTTGTTGAGACGTGGCTAAATTTCAGAACTGGTCTATAAAAGTCCACTTGAAAACAGTATTATTGTGAGCAGAGCTGGGGTAAGTTTGACAACACACAGAAATGAATGTCCCTTCGGTTGTCTCATTTAGGGGCAGTTTTCTGTTGTGAATGTCTGTAGAGGAGAGGTTCGGTGATACTGGTTGAAGTGTGGTCCACGTGCTTTAGGGTGGAGGCTTGGCTGGTGATGAAACTGACAACCTGTAATGAACATTTCAAGGCACACTGAATCTTTCTCAGACTCACTGTTTCACCTCTTGAATGTGAGGCTAAGAGGTGCCACAGAGTTCCAAAGTTTTAGTTCTGCTGAAAAGCCTAGATGACTATGATTACTTAGCTAAATCCCTCAAATTCCCTGCCAGCAGCAGAGCTGAACCAGCTTGGGACTAGGAATTTCAGGACAAGTGTTACGAGTAGGTTGCTTGAACCACGTAAAAACCTCCTTCTGGACTTTTTTAAATGCCCGATTTTGAGTAGCACTACCTCCCAATGGGCCTGCCAGGAAGAACTAGTTTCAGAACGTACTCACAGAACTCCCGCGAAGTAGACTGAATTAAGTTGCTGGATGAATTAGGAATGTGTACTTAAATTTCGAAGAAAGTTTGCCCAAAACAAAACTCTTGGTTTTGCCGTCATTGAAGTTTATCTGCCTTCTTTTCTTCTGATGATTTAGTCAATGGGTTCGGCTGCTTCTGTGGAAGTTTTCTGGTTCATGATGGCAAAATCAAGTCAAAAGGAAGTCCTTTATAAAATGCAAAGTGTTATAACAATGAAGTTAAACAACTACTACATTGTGTTGGTGTTAGGAATTTAACCAAAGACAAGCAGATATATGTGCATATCCTGCTTTCTGAAATATGTTTTCCTCACTTTAGGACATACAAATACTAGGACTAGCAGGTGGCATAATGGTTACATACTGGACTACCATATGGTTGACCACAGTTTGAGTCCCAGACCCAGTGGCTTAAAACTCATGCCGGACATGTGTGTCTGAGTGCCCAAAATCCCAAGAGGAGAATGGCAGAGAAGGGACTGCAGTGTGGCCATTCCCTCAGAGGGGGGGTGTTTTCTCTCTTTCTGTGTCTCTCTCTCTCTCTCTCTCTCTCTCTCTCTCTAGTGAGCACACATGCCCTATAGCAAAAATCTCTCTTTAGAAAAAAAAAAAGACATACAAATACTTCTGAAAAGTTATATTTAAGTCAAACTTAATTTTCTGGTGGTATTCTGTGATATACTTGTTAAGAAAATAAGTCCGCCTATGAATTTCATTATCTATTTTAGTGTAAAACCAAGATTCCTCAATGGTTAAGTGTGTGAGGATTCATTTTATTACTTTAATTTGGCCAGAGAGGGACACACACAGAGATAGAGAACGCAAGAAAGCAAGCCACCAGGCCCCGGACTCAAACCATGGTTGGCCATGTGGGAGTGTCTAGTGCCTTAACCACCACACCACCTGCTGGTCCCATATCTCTGAGTCTTAATGACCCTACTTTATAGGTTGGGAAATAATAATCCAGCATTATGCATTTTAGTACTATAGGGAAGAATGTACCTGAAAATACATTGCATTATAAATTCAAACCTCTATCGAATGCTCCAGTTGTTGAGACGTGGCTAAATTTCAGAACTGGTCTATAAAAGTCCACTTGAAAACAGTATTATTGTGAGCAGAGCTGGGGTAAGTTTGACAACACACAGAAATGAATGTCCCTTCGGTTGTCTCATTTAGGGGCAGTTTTCTGTTGTGAATGTCTGTAGAGGAGAGGTTCGGTGATACTGGTTGAAGTGTGGTCCACGTGCTTTAGGGTGGAGGCTTGGCTGGTGATGAAACTGACAACCTGTAATGAACATTTCAAGGCACACTGAATCTTTCTCAGACTCACTGTTTCACCTCTTGAATGTGAGGCTAAGAGGTGCCACAGAGTTCCAAAGTTTTAGTTCTGCTGAAAAGCCTAGATGACTATGATTACTTAGCTAAATCCCTCAAATTCCCTGCCAGCAGCAGAGCTGAACCAGCTTGGGACTAGGAATTTCAGGACAAGTGTTACGAGTAGGTTGCTTGAACCACGTAAAAACCTCCTTCTGGACTTTTTTAAATGCCCGATTTTGAGTAGCACTACCTCCCAATGGGCCTGCCAGGAAGAACTAGTTTCAGAACGTACTCACAGAACTCCCGCGAAGTAGACTGAATTAAGTTGCTGGATGAATTAGGAATGTGTACTTAAATTTCGAAGAAAGTTTGCCCAAAACAAAACTCTTGGTTTTGCCGTCATTGAAGTTTATCTGCCTTCTTTTCTTCTGATGATTTAGTCAATGGGTTCGGCTGCTTCTGTGGAAGTTTTCTGGTTCATGATGGCAAAATCAAGTCAAAAGGAAGTCCTTTATAAAATGCAAAGTGTTATAACAATGAAGTTAAACAACTACTACATTGTGTTGGTGTTAGGAATTTAACCAAAGACAAGCAGATATATGTGCATATCCTGCTTTCTGAAATATGTTTTCCTCACTTTAGGACATACAAATACTAGGACTAGCAGGTGGCATAATGGTTACATACTGGACTACCATATGGTTGACCACAGTTTGAGTCCCAGACCCAGTGGCTTAAAACTCATGCCGGACATGAAAAAAAAAAGACATACAAATACTTCTGAAAAGTTATATTTAAGTCAAACTTAATTTTCTGGTGGTATTCTGTGATATACTTGTTAAGAAAATAAGTCCGCCTATGAATTTCATTATCTATTTTAGTGTAAAACCAAGATTCCTCAATGGTTAAGTGTGTGAGGGCCATGTCTCCTTTGAGATCTCAATGTTTCACCCAGAAATTAAACAGAACACGTACTGAATAATCCGGGCTATAGTTCTGTGGAGTGTGGGACTCCTGACGGGTCCCAGGGCTCCCAGGTGCCCCAGGATGCTTACCTGTCCTTGCCCACCTTGCACATCTTTTTCTTTCCAGCTGTAGCTTTCCCTTTTTTGGAAATTCTCTCCATGGAAAAGTTGATGTGAGGTCCCACCCTCCCCATCGCTGAAGGCACATCGATCTCTGGATTGATGATAAGTCGAGATCTCAAGGAAATGGCAATGCTAAGGGCCACCACCCACTAGGTGTCTGCCCAGTCAGGTAGCAGTGCTGACTGTGGGGAGTGTTGACATGCAATATCTGCCACTCTGCATTGCTTCAAAGTGTTGGGATACTTTGGTGAACCATTACTGTGCATGTCTTCCAAAGGAAGCAAAAATTACTATCGGCTTTTAAGGGGTGATGGATCCATGTCTCCAATTCTGCTCAAGAATCTCAGAATCACCAATTGAGAGCCCCAAAGTATTTATGTCTCTCTAGGCTTCTTTGAAATGAGAATGGCTTTTTTCTTTTAAGAATTATTTTATTTTATTCATCATTATTATTTTTTCTATTTGACCACAGAGCAGTGGTGGGGGCGGGGGTGGGGGAGAGCATAAAAGCAAGCTACCGAGTCCAGGATTTGAACCGTGTTGGCCATGTGGGAGTCCAGCGCCTCAACCACCACACCAACTGCCAGCCCTTGATTGGCCTTATATTAAGATGTATGTATGTCCATCTACAGGCCCACCCTACTCATGCACTCCTTGAGCTTGGCTGGAGTTGGAGTTGGAGCAGACCTTCAGGAAATCTCTCTTCTCTGCTTCAGAGCTCTGAAGGCTGGTCACTACCATGCACCTCTAACGATTGCCTTTTGCTTTGCTTCATCCACACAGGTAACAGCACTGACCCAGGAGGTCTCCCAGTTAGGCAAAGACATGAGGAATGTGATACAGCTTCTGGAAAACGTTCTGTCACCTCAGCAGCCACCACGGTTGTGCTCTCTGCACGCCACCTCCGTGTGCCCTTCCAGGGAGAGTTTACAGACCAGCATGAGCTGGAGTGCACACCCACCTTGCCTGCACTTGCAAACAGGTGGGGCTGCGTATCCCCAAGCACAATTTTGTCATGGTAATGTCACCTCAGACATCTGGAGTGTTGCTCCCTCCTCTGTGGGAAGCAGCCCCCAACAAACTGGAGCTCATGAGCAAAATCCTGCAGACCGAGAACTTTATCATTCTCCCAATCTTGATTATTCACCTTCCCATTGCCAGGTGGTCCAAGAAGGTCATTTGCAATTTTTAAGGTGCGTTTCTCCAAATTCAGATACTACACTGACACCTCTGCAATCCATTTCAGCAACTCTCTCATCCTCTGTCTGTTCCTCCTCGGAAACATCTTTGCACCTGGTTCTCCCGAGCAGATCTGAGGAGGGCAGTTTCGGTCAGCACGCTGTTAGTTCCTTCAGTCTGGAAAACTTGCCAGGATCTTGGGACCGAGAAGGCATGGCATCAGTCTCTACCAAACCCTTGGAGAACTTTCCACTGGAAGTTGTCACAAGCACTGCAGAAGCAAAAGATAATCAAGCCATACACGTATGAGACCGGCATGGACGACGCAGCGGCCAATTTGAAACCCACCACTGCATGACCGCTTCAGTTTGCCTTTCTTGCCTCTGGCGGGCACAAAGACCGAGCAAAGTTGGAAATTTTGCAGAAGAGAGTGTGAGGTGCCAGGGCAAGGCAGAATCACCTCCATAGCGAATTATTTCTAGATCCTAGAAGCATATTAGAAACATTTTTCTGTACAGGTATTAACTTACTGGTCTGTTTGACAGACTTTGGTAAAAGTCCAAAGACCCTGAGGGTCTGAGCAGCTAGAAGTCCCCTACAAAGAATTTGTGGGTTAGATTTGTCCTAGGTGGCTTTTGTAAAGTGCAGCAAAGGTTTTTCCTGAGTGCCTGTTTGTCATTTCTGAACAATATCTATAGCACTGTTGGCCTCGGGAGTGCACAGCTCCTGCTGATCTTTTTTTTTTTTTTTTTTTATGTGAGCGAAAGGACAATTTTCACTCTCT